CACTGAAAGGAGTGTTATAAAAATCTACACTTACTATGTCCCACTGTCAGCCATGTTTGGCAGACATCTTCCTCTGATGAAGGGTTCTAAATCAACCTATATTTCAGGACAGTGGGATTACTTGCTGGTAAAAGAGAATGAGATCATTCAGTCATGTGATGAGAAAAGAAACTTTGTGAACTTGGGCTTTAGTAAGAGAATTTCTGCTTGGATAATTTATTTCAGATTTGCTATTGTTATTTTAGTGTATTTCCAATATGATGGGATGGAGTCTAAGTTATCACAATCTTGGTGAATGTGCCTCCTTTTTTATAAATTTGTACATGATGTTAAAGTCCATGGTGATATAATAGACCTTCAGGAAGGCAAATGTTTTAAATTGCCACTGCATGCCATTGAGGATTGTCTATCTTTGGCACCTATACTCATGTTTGCCTTACCATTAAAACCAAGTTCAATCCAGGAAAGTTTAAAGAAGCTGGCTTGCACAGACCTAAACTGTACCAGGGGCACCGTAGACAACTATGTTTTATTGGATTATCAGGTCTGGATCACTAAAATTACTTTTGGTCTCTGACCACAAATCTCCTTATAAAATTCCCAGTTGTCAGTTAAAATATGTGACTTCTGCAGAGGGTGGACTTACAAACAATCTTGCAATTGGATTAAGTAGGCACTTATAAACTAGGCTAGGTGTGATCTGGAATAATGTGTTCATTATTAATTAATGTGATAGTCCCCCTATCATATTAACTTATAAGTAGAAAGCTGTAGCTAGACACATGTGATTTCCCTGGTTAGACTCAAGAGATACACAGTTTTTGTGTTCTTGTCCATGGCAGGATTTTAAATAAAACACATTTTTATGATCCTAATAAGACTGAATTACTTATACTACTAAGCCCTGGGATTTAACAGAAAAGCAATTATTACTGGACCCCAGTGTTTAAAATAAGTGGACTAATGTGTGCTCCACCCCAGAAAGTGTTCCTTTTCTGAATACTCTCTGAACGTATTAGAGTCAAATAAAATTATAACTGTGTAGTCTGTGTAGGAAACCATTTGTGAACTTAAGGCTTTGAGGTTTTTCTTTTGGTTCTTGCTCCTGAATGCACTCCTTTAAACTAACTTGCTTTATCTAGATTGTTCTACTTACCTGTTGTATGTGTTATAGCAAGTCCCAACTGACTCTCTCTTAGCATTTGATTTTCCTGGTGCTTAAAATGACAGCTTCCAAGTTCCAGTTTTTAATTCCAGTATCCATTCCCCTCTCTGTATGTGTTTGTATAGTTATACATCGATTTCTTTTTTCCTACACAATAGGGAAGTTAATTATTGACCTCTGTTTCCCTAGAAGTTTGTGGAAGAATTGTTGGTTGGCAATCAAAGTAGCTTTTTATATATGGAAACTTTCTTTTATCTGTTTCCTATAGCTAGGTATATGCAAACATACAAACTGTATTTGAGCATTTTAACTACATTTTACTTTTCAGTTTCCATGTGTAAGGGTATTTTATTATTCTTGTAGGTGAGCAAATTTGGAAGAAAAATTATTTCTTCAAAAAACTATGGGTGTACCAGGGGCTGAGAGGAGAGAGGAATGGGGAGTTATGGTCTAATGGGTACAAAGTTTCTGTTTCTGAATAATAAAACTTTTCTGGAAATAGTGGTGATGGTTATACAACATTTGAATGTAGTTAATGGCAATGAATTTTACGCTTAAAAATAGTCAAAATGGTAAATTTTATGTTATGTATATTTTACAATTTAAAAAAATTGAAAGCCAAAAAAAAAAAAAAAAGGAAAATATAATTATCTAAATACATTTCTCCTAATGAGATGTACTAAGTGGTAATGAAAATGTGGCTGTAACGTGATTGTTAATTTACATTCCTGATTTCACGAACCATGCCACACTGTTTCCTATACAATTCAGGGGATTAGAATACAGTGCAAAAATTTGATTAAAGAGAAAGGATGAACACAATACTTGCTTTATCCCCCCCACTTGCATGCTATTTTGAAGTTACAAATCATTTTTACATACTTCATCACATTTGATCCCAAAAAAATCCCTGTGAAGGAGATCATTATTCTCATGTCACAGATGAGAAGCCAGAGAGGTTCATGAGAGGTTAAGAGAGAGGCTGAGGTCTAAACCTCAGATTCTGGTCTTCAGTTGGAGCTCTTTGTTTACCATCTTATAACTTCTCTTTTGTAAAGCAAATCAGAGGAGCAATTCAAATCTGAATATTTATGTGATGTCATGTTTGACACATTTTCTTTTCAGCTGAACTTCTTTCTTTTGCAGTTTTAAATCAAGTGCATTTGAAGTGAGGCCTCCTATTGTTCTATATTACCCTGCCCCCTGCTAGAAACAAACCCTGCATCATAATGACAGGAAACATTTAATTTATTGATTTATGATTTCAACTCAGTCATACAGTATTATTGGGACACTTATTTTCTGCTTCTTATGTTTTCATGTGGAGGGACTTCAGCCAGACTGACTTTTTTTTAATAAGTCATCTTGATTTTATATTAAAAAGTTTTAAAATTATAACAAATCTCAGTTTTAAGTAGAGATGAAAAGATTTGCTAAATAAAACACTAGTCCAGTAATGTAGTAAAGGAATAATATTTGTCAGAATAGGGATTATTTCAAAATGCAAAGATGGTTTAATAGTGAAGTCTGATTTGTCACTCTTCTGCTCAAAATTCACCTGAATTGGCGTTTTTCTTGACTCAGGCAATTTCTTTTTGGTTCTCATTCTTCAAAATTAAAACCGATGCTGCAATGAGTAAATAGATTGACTTTTCTGATCTCTCCCCACCTTCTTTCACTCTTTACCACTGATGAGAAGAGGCATTTTCGGATAAGGGAGTTTGATCAAAGAAGCTGGTCCTAGCTGGTGAAGTGCCTTAGATGTTCTTCCCTTTGGATCAGCAGGCCTGTGGAGCTGGTGTTCCCTTTCCTCTTTAGATCATATGTGAACTTAACAGGCAGTCCTGCTCCTGAGGTGGGTGGGGATTGAATCAGCCCTGCTGGGCTGCCAGGCGGGGGTGGTTAATTACAGTGTACAGTCTCATCAGACTCACTGGATCACGCCTCTAACCAGCATCTTCTGTTTGCCTGGTTCCTGTATCTTCCCATCAGTTAGCTCTAAGCTTCCCAGAGGAAGAAGAATGTGATTGAATAGGTCCCTTCAAAATTCAGCATCCTCAGACCTGAAGATGAAAATACCCCTCCTTTCCCAGGAACACATCTACTTTTATTTATATCAAACCTTTATTTTATTTCCAATATTAATGTTTCAAATGTCCATCAATAAGTATACAGATAAATTGTGATATATCCATACAATGGACTTCTAATCAGCAGCAAAAAAGAATGAACTACTGAAACACACAACCGGAGTGGATCTAAAATAATCATGCTGAATGAAAGAAGCCAGACGAGAAGGAGTACATACAATATGCGTCCATTTTTTATAGAACTATACGAAATTCAAACTTATTTGTAGTGACAGAAAGCATATCAGTGGTGCCTGAGAATGGGGATGGGAGTGGGGTAGTGAATGGTGACAGACAGAGATTGCAATGAACATGAGGAAACTTTTGGGGGTGATGCATATGTTCGTTATCTTGTCGGTTGTGATGGTTTTACAGGTGTATACATATGTCAAAGCTAATCAGATGGTAAACTTTATGTTTAGTTTACTGAGTATCAATTTACCTCAGTAAAGCTACTTAAAAAACAAACAAACAAACAAAAACTCAGCATCCTCAGACCTGAAGAGGAAAAATGCCCCTCCCTTCCCAGGAATACAGTTAATTTTATTTATATCAAACCTTTATTTAATTTCTAATAGTCTATGGTACAAGTTATGACAGTATTACTGGGCTAATAAAATTCATCTCTTTACTTTTTACTGTTTTATAAATATGATACTTTTCCCTTTTCTTAATGTTTTGTAAGAGAGTGATTATCTTAAAGTACCTTTAGTGGAGTTTGTTCTTTTATTCTCTTAGCTGCTCTATAAAATATAAGCAGTCAGGCTCAATGTGTATGTTATATGATGGCCTTGGAAGAATCTGAAAATATTGCAACATTCCTACAGTATGACAGTTTAATAGCATGGCATCCAAACAGAATTTTCCACATAATTTGAGACACTGGTTTCCCAGAGAATTGAAAAGCGTATCACATTTTTATAATTTATATAAATGACTGTATAACTAATAAGAACCTGCTGTATAAAAATATAAAATTAAATTTAAAAAAATGACTGTATAATGCAAACCTTAATGATTCTTCTTAAGGAAAAAGTCTTTATTCATTTATAAATGTGATTAATATAATATATAATCTGATTAATCATAGATGAGATAATAGGCCCATTTGAAGAATTTCCATGAACAGAAAAAATGTACAGTTAAGTTTTTTCCAGAGTGAGAGAACCAAGATATTTGAACTGTAGGATTATAAACTGCTAGAACTGGAAAGAACATTGGGAACAACACACATTTCTTACCCCTCAAATGCTGGGAATGCAAGAAAGCAATCAGAATTCATCTCCTAGATCCAAGAAATTTAAGAGCATTATTCAAGGGTGCGTGACTACCAGCAAATCTTGGATGAGAATCACGAATCCTGCTCCAGCCCTCTCCTACTGGCCAGGTGTTAGGTTGCCTCATATTCAAAATAGTGAAGTGTAAATTTCAGCATAGTGTTGCCCTTAAAACAATCCATGAACAAATGTGCCTTTTACATTTCTGTTTTTTTTCATCCCCTTTTAGGGAGAAAGAAGACAATTGAGACTTCATTCTCAAATACCAAAAACACTCCCACGTGTTTTCTCAGAAATGCATTTACATACATATGTGTGCATATAGAAATTTTATAATTCTATGTTCTTTAATATTCCTCCCTTGATTTTCTTTTTGTTGAAGTAACCCATGATTAATCAACTTCTACCCCTTTTGCTTTTGCTTTATAGAATCTGTCTGTCCAACACGAATTCCAGTGGCAGCCCGTGATGAGAAGGGGTTTGATATTCTTTTAGGCTTGGGTGTAAAGAAAAAGGCTAAGAAAAGAATTCAGCTTTCACCAACAAGGATAAAAGGATATGAAGTGACATCAAAAGTTGATTTATCAGAACTCACAAGGTAAACGTTATGTGTTGATACAGCGTTTTCTTGATGTTTCTGTAGACATGTTGAGAATTCTTTAAGCTCATACATGTTCTTCTTTTTCCAGCAACGTTTTCCCAGAAGGTCTTCCTCCATCATATGTATTTGTCTCCACTCAGAGATTTAAGGTCAAGAAAGTGTGGGATTTATGGAGAATTTTAACCATTGACGGAAGGCCACAAATAGCAGTTACCTTAAATGGAGTGGATAAAACTTTATTATTTACAACAACCAGCATCATTAATGGCTCACAACTGGTCAACTTTGCTGACCCTCGAGTTAAGGTAAAGATGCTTGGGTATGATTATGGTATTCACGGGGAATGACCATCAGGTTTGTGTGTTTTGGGAGAGGAGAGCCATAATTTGAACCTGACTGAAAAAATATTGATTTCATATTTTAATTTTGCTTCATTGACTAAAAGGAACAAAGGAAGAATATTTGTTTCTTTTTTAATTGAAGTAGAGTTGAGTTACAATGTGGTGTTAATTTCTGCTGTACAGAAAACTGATTCAGTTATACATATATATACGTATTCTTTTTCATAGTCTTTTCCATGGTGGTTTATCACAGGATATTGAATACAGTTCCCTGTGCTACACAGTAGGACCTTGTTGTTTATCCATATCCTATACATAATAGTTTGTATTTACTAATCCCAAACTCCCAGCCCATCCCTTTCCCACCCCCCTTTCTCCTTGGCAAGCACAGTTCTGGTCTCTGTGTCTGTGAGTCTGTTTCTGTTTCGTAGATAATTTCATTTGTGTCATATTTTAGATTCCACATATGAGTGATATCGTATGATACTTGTCCTTCTCTGTCTTATTTAGTTCACTTAGTATGATAATCTCTGGGTCCATCCATGTTGCTGCAAATGGCATTATTTTGTTCTTTTTTATGGCTGAGTAATATTCTATTGTATATATGTACCACATCGTCTCTATCCATTCATCTGTCGATGGACATTTAGGTTGCATCCATGTCTTGGCTATTGTAAATAGTGCTGCTAGGAACATAGGGGTGCATGTACCTTTTTGAATTATAGTTTTGTCCAGATATATGTCCAGGAGTGGGATTTCTGGATCATATATGGCAACTCTATTTTTAGTGAAAATTTGTTTTTTAATTCATATGAGATTAAGGGGTGCAGGAACTAACATTTTTGAGTACCTGCTTCTAGGTGCCAGGAACATTTAATTATAATAATCACCCAAGGAAGAAGCTATTGCTCTCACTTTAAAGATAAAATACCAAAGTTCAAGGATATTAAATTCTCTTTCCAAGTAACATGGCTAGTAAGTGGTGACATCAGGAATTTAATTTAGGTCTGGTCACTTTCAAAATCTGTGTTTGTCTATTTTGTACTGCCATGTCCTACAGGATATTGAGATAAATTCATATTTGTCAGAACATTAAATACAGGTAGGAAGTATGTACAGAATTCACATTTATTTGGATGACAGCTTATATTCCCAAAAGGAGCATATATTTAACAAAATTCATAAACCAAAAGTGTATTTTTCAAGTCAAATGTGTTCAGAAAATAGATGCCATGATAAAATCAATTACATTTTGATTATTACTGTAATTATGATAGTCAAATTCTACATTATATAATTTAGGAAATATACAAGGCTGTACATGAAATTATGCATTTATCCAATTTCTTCATTTGGTAAGAAGAATACATTTTTAAAAAAATTGTTGTCTACTATTTTCATTAAAGGCAATGTGCTAGGTTCTGTAAGAAATGACAAATGAATAAGGCATGTTTCTAATCTTCAAGGAATTTATTTATAATGGGATATTCAGTGCTTCTGGTATCTAAAAGAAGTACAAAAAGTTAGTGGACTGTGGAAGGAAAAGTGGATTCTAATACAAAATGTGGGCCAGTCTTCATAAATGAGATGGTTTTTGGAATGTAGGATGAAGGATGTACAGGATTTTGTTGGAGAGAGAGAAGGACACGGAAGTCAATGGTTCATTATTGAGTAGTTATGTGTGGTGAAATGCAGGGTTTTTATTTATAGAATAGAACGTGGTGCCCCTTGTGTTTGGAGTATAAGATACATGAAAGCAAAAGCTAGAAAGGTATAAACTCAGTTTGCATGGACGTGGGAACCGTACAAAGGGTTTTGCATTTCAATCAGTGGATGACGGGATTCCATCAAAAGGTCTTGATCACAGGCGTGTCATGGTCAAAGTAGCTCTCTCCTCTCCTTCTTTCCCTTCTTCTTTTGTAAAGAATACTTTTGACTCTTTCCTGGAATTGGACTAGGTCCTAGGAATACAGAAATTAATAATATTAATTCTAGTAGAGGTAAGAAGGTTGGCTTGGAGAGGGAAGGGATAGGGATTGAGATGTGTTTGAAAATTATTCAAATAAAACAAGACATCTATGAGTCTAAATTATGGCAATGAAGAAGTGAATTTGAGTCGTGTTTAAGACACATCCTTGGTAGAATTTTGCATCTATTTGTTATGGCAACTGAGGGAAGGGGAAAGAGGTAAAGGCACTTGTATGGTTTAGAAACTGAGGATACTATTATCCCAGGGAAATCGGGAGAGGAAGAAAGTTTAGGGGATAGTTCAAGTTCATTTTGTTACATACTCTGTCAGACTGATTGTGAAACTCCTGGCAAAATTATTCTAGCCAATGTTAGAATTATAGGTACCATATGTGAGAAAGAGGTCCAGGCTGTCAATGTGGATATGGGAGATATTCCATAAAAGTTATAACTGAACTGTTGGAATGAATGAGATCATCAAGGGGAGAATGGAAAAGGTCAAGGACCGACCTGTGGGGAATGCCCTCATTAAAAGGCAGGTTGAGGAAAACGAACCCTCAAAGAGATAGAGAATGGACAGTTGTAGAAGAAGGAATGAAGGTGATCAAGATGGTTTGAATCACGGAAGCTGAGACCATCAATGTGGATGGACTAGTTACAGGGTCCACAGTTGCCATGAAGTAAATAAAATGAGGGAATGAAAGAAGCCACTTGGATTGGGACATTAGGAACTTATCTGTGACCTTGAGGGAGTTGTTTCAGTAAATACTTTGGTACAGCCACTTTGAGATGTGAAATGGAAATGCAGCTAGGGATTAAAATAATTGCTGGGTGGCCTTTGAGACCCAGCTTGGGTCAGGGTGAGTTAGAATATGATACGATCAATCTGGGTGGTATGGATTTACACTTGACGACAACAGAATAGAAACAAAGAAACGAAAAGATTGTTTGGAACTCTATTTATGAATCTGCTGTATTTTCTTCCTACAGACATTATTTGATGAAGGCTGGCATCAAATTCGTCTCTTAGTAACCGAACAAGATGTAACTCTGTATATTGATGATCAACAAATTGAAAACAAGCCCTTACATCCAGTTTTAGGGATGTTCATCAGTGGGCAAACCCAAATTGGAAAATACTCTGGGAAAGAAGAAACCGTTCAGGTGGATAAAAATGATCTGCTTTTCGTATTATATAAAATGGAGCTTTGGTGATAGTATTTATTCCATTTAACTGTATTTAACTTAATTCCTTTAAGAGACTTAATGAAAATGTGGTCAGTTCATTAGTGAAATTGTGTGTTTGTGTGTGTGTATGAAAATGAAAAATCAAACAATATAATAATTCTTAGAAATTTGTTCCCCTAGGTGCAGGGTAGAATCTATGTTCTTATGGACCATCAATTTCATATTTCCCAGGAGAAGCATAGAATATATCATGAATTTGGGAAAGGATTACAGCTGTGATTGGGGGCTGTAAAAATTTCTTTGCAGCTGTGAGGATAAAATTAGATTAATGCATGTCAGTGTTCTTCATAAACAAAACGGTGACTATTTTGGTATCTCTTTAAACTAGAATATCTGTGTGCGGGTTGAGAAGTGTGTATGTAAAAGATAGCCATTTCTTGAAAAATCCTTTATTTGAAAAGGTATGTCTTTCCTACTCTGTTTCTATTAAGGGAAGACTGTGTCATATTCAAATGTAGGATTACACATATGGTCTCTATGTATTAATGTTACACGTCAAATTGTAGTAAATATTTAAATAGTGACAGGTGCTGGGCTTACTCATCACACAATACTCCGTGCCAAGAACTAAATCTCTGAAACTAAAGATGGTTTCTTGACCCGACTCTATGCAATCAGGGATGTGGAGAGATGTAGGGTAAACACAGAAAGCCTGGGAAAGCTTTTAAGTTGTCTAGGAAATGCCGTCTAGATGAGCTCTTAATAGAAGGATACCACAGAAGCTCCACTGGGTTCCCCAAAGAAGTCAGAGGTTTGTTTTTGGTGCTAGGGAAGTTTTTCTTAGGAGTTTTGTTGCGTCACATCTTTACACTATATGTTAAGTATTTAAATTTTGTATGTATATTGCTTATTGTATTTTTATTGTTAACGAAGCTAAGTGTTTCGATCTATATTTTATATGATTGCTAACTACACTGGCTGCTTCTGTGTATGTGAGTTGCTTTTATAAAACAATTTGCTTGGGCCTCAACTTTAACTTGATTGCTTTTATGTTTCTAGTTTGATGTCCAAAAGTTACGAATCTACTGTGACCCAGAGCAGAACAACCGGGAGACAGCATGTGAGATTCCTGGATTTGTGAGTAGGATGAATTATATTTTCCTAAGTGTTGCTTCAGTACTTTCAAAGCAAGAAATAAAACGCAGATAATATACGAGCTTTAATTTAACATATAGAGTTAATTTGTTTCTTCATTGTCAATGCAAATAAAATGACACTGATTAAAACATATTTTGAGGTTCATAATTGAAATAAAATTATAATGTGTACAAGTGTAAATGGAAGACCACGGGAAATATTTTCTCATCTCAGATTGATTGTTCCACTACTCAAGTGAAGCAGGGATAGACCTGCTCTAGAAAAACATAGAATTCATTGTCTGAATGTCCAGTAAGTAAAATACATTTCTATACTTTATTAAATGTGTGGGTGAAATACCTCACGTGGCACAATTCTGAAGAATGGAAAATTATTCATTTTCCTGTTTACTAGCACGTTTTCTCAAACCATAATGAGTATAAATTTTTCTTTTTGTTGTTGTTGCCACCCAAGTAGGATTTTCTTATAGTTCTAGGATATAAGCAACTTTCTATTTATTTAGCTATTTTCATTAATGCGTTAGGAAGAAAAAGATTATAAGCTAAAATGTTATAGAGTCTGATCATATACGTGTGTGAGTGTGTGTGTGTGTGTGTGTGTGTGAGATCAATCCCTTTTCCCCTGGGCAAGAAACAGTATATTGTTGCTAGTGAAAATAAGGTAAAATGTCATAAAACTTTTTGACAATGTGGATTTCCAGTCATATTTGAACCCTACGTAGTTCTTTTCATTTGTATAGTCATGCTGTCAACATTTTCTTATTTCCTATCAAACTGAATAAATTATGGATCCATATTCTGAAAATTTGAGGACATAGAGCAGCACATTTGAAGGATCTGTAATAAAATCAAAGATGGAAGCTTCTAGAAATGATTCATTCTTGATTTTCTACTTAAGTAGTTGTTTAAACACCATAATATTTATTTTAGTTACTTATAACTTGGAATATAAATCTCTCCTAAAAGCGTTAAGAAGTTATTTCATTTTGAGAGTCCATTGTACATACTTGATTTATTGCTATTTATCCACTGATGTTATGCCATGACTATGATCCCCCGTATAATAGAAGCATAGAGTGAGATTGTAGATTCTGTGTTCTCACATCCGCTTTTTCTGTTCTTATGGCTCCTTCCTCACTCTCAGGTATGACTTTTTCAGGCTCGTTTACCCTTTTCATCTTCATTGCCACCTTCTCATTTTCTGATCTAATCTGTTATTGTTTGGAAAGATTATTAACCTATTTTAAAATTGTGTGTCATTCAGTAAGAAATAGATGGTTTAGTAAGAAGCTTTTCTAAAGTAAATTGCATAAAATTGAATGAATGGAGGGGGGCTTCCCTGGTGGCGCAGTGGTTTAGAGTCCGCCTGCCGATGCAAGGGACACGGGTTTGTGCCCCGGTCCAGGAAGATCTCACATGCCGCGGAGCTGCTGGGCCCGTGAGCCATGGCCACTGCGCCTGCGCGTCCAGAGCCTGTGCTCCGCAATGGGAGAGGCCACAACAGTGAGAGGCCCGTGTACTGCAAAAAAAATAAATAAATTGAATGCATGCAGTTTGCGACTTGCTTAGATGTGTTTTGGCTTTTTCTCTGGTTCTTAAGTGATTCCCAGAAAGTTCAAGAGAGCGTATAAACCCCACCTTGAGGTATTTTTGTTCCTGTGTGGCCGTTATACCAAGCACACTCTCCATCATTGCTAATTTCCTTCCTTTATCCTATTATAAATGTGGGAATAACATAAATAGGTAATGTTTTAGGATCGTTGCAAGCAAATGTTTTAGCTCTTGCTGGTTTTGATACTTCATTTATCTCTACCCTGGACAAGGAAATATCTGTAAATTAGGAAGATCATTTAGAAATTTAATTAGAAACATGTCTTAAAACACATTTGTTGTTGTTTTTCTTTCAGAACGGTGAGGTAGGCCTGGATACTATTATTCTCCTTAAGGTAGTATTTGCATTGTAGGACTGTTTAACTTCCTTCCAACAATTGTAAGTATGTTAGATAAATAGAACCCATTTTTATGTAGTTTGAATGTATCTAGTATTCATAGCTTTTTTGTGATTCTGAATTTCTTATTGGATTGGACTAAATAAAATTGGACAGTAAATATAAGATATCTTTACCATTTCACCCACACATACAGACATACACAGCCATATGTGCACATATGTATGTCTTGCCATGTGCCTTTATCTCCATTTTTGTCTTTTAGTGCTTCAATGGTCCCAGTGATGTTGGTTCAACGGCAGCTCCCTGTATTTGTCCTCCAGGAAAACCAGGACTACAAGGCCCCAAAGTGAGTAATACCTAACATGCTACTTTTGATAAAACACACAAATAAGAGCTGAGTAGACACCAAATTCCTAATCACCATTGACTCTGTTGTGAAATGTCTCCCTAATACCTTAGAATAGTTTAAAATGTGAATTTTAGTGATTTTTAAAAAAAGTGATTCTAATCTGTAATTGCCTTTGAACCTAAAACTGATACCACATAAAGTGAGGGAGTGTTATTTGTTTGCTTGTTTGTCTGTTTGTTTTTTCCCCTAATACCACTACTGTATCCCAAGAATGATACCTCCTTACAACCTGGTAAAAAATGAAGAAAGGTCATTTGTTAAAATACGTTCTAAATTCTTAAATGTCTAAATGCTTATTCTGTCAAAATGATTTTCAGATAGAAAAATGAAGTAAAAAATTTAAAGTTGGTTGGAATGTTGTGTTTGATGTCCAATTCTAAAAAGAGAGGCAAGTGTGTGTATGTGTGTGCATGTGTATTGATTTATTTATTTTACTTAATCATGTAATAATTACTTTTAGTCATATTCATACATGCATATCTCCCAGTTACATTTACATATTTATTTGTGTGTGTATCTGTATATATATTATTTGTGTGTATATGTGTTATTTGTGTGTGTATATATATGAAAACATATATTCATCTGTGTACACATTTGTATATGATTGGAACCATGATGTGCATACTATTTTATAACTAGTCACTTTTTAACATAACAAATACTCTGAATATGTTTCTGTGTTATTAAATATGAATGACTAAAGTTTTTAAAGTAAGTTGATACTAATCGTGGCATCACTTAGACATAGCCTAAGATACTGAGATGTCAAGTGGTTTGTCCACTATAGATAAATCTTGTTTATTTAATATTATTTAAAAATATCATCTAGATAAAAATAATGACTAACTTGAAAGCAAGTATGACTTCCTAGCCAGAAAGAATGTTTTGTGTATTGCTCATCTATTACTTGAAGTGACCATAATAAATTCTGTTAAATATGAGTTGTAATGTTCATTTAGGTGGAATTTTCTGAGAGTTTTAATCATCACAACTAAAAATTTTCAGTTTTTAGACTGGTAATCTGAGAGTTGGATTCTTCCTAACTTTTGTGCATGTTTCCCCATCTATTTTCAGTTGATAGTTCATAACCTACTTCAAACCTAGTTGTTAAAATCAAGAAAGAGATGCAATTTAAGAATTAAAAGAATGGGATTTCCCTGGTGGTCCAGTGGTTGAGACTTCGCCTTCCAATATGGGGGTGTAGGTTTGATCCCTGGTCGGGGAGCTAAGATCCCACATGCCTTGGGGCCAAAAAACCAAAAACATAAAGCAGAAACAATATTGTAACAAATTCAATAAAGACTTCCAAAAAAAATGGTCCACATCAAAAAACAAATCTTAAAAAAAAAAGAAATAAAAGAATACATTCAATACTTCATTCAAAGTAAATCTGTTTGGCTTGGAACTTGACTTCATTACATTATAATCAGTTTACTATTGTGAACAATTTTTAGATTGCCTTTAGGAAAGTTAATCCAAGTGTTCTTCTATTAAAGTAACCATGTTATTTAGGATGCCTGATACAAAGGAAAAATACCTATAAGATGTTTCTGGGAGAATTTACCTTGCAAGGCAGCATGGTGTGACCTACCAGCAGACTATCTTTTGAAACATAGTTATACAGCTTATTCAACTTGGGTTGTTATACGTAGAAATGATTTGATCTGCAAGAGATCAGAGTCCTATGACATCTGACTTCTCTAAGCCCAGAGGACCTTCCAGCCCCTCAGGCCACCCCCAGGGACTCTAAGGGGCTGTCCACTTCCAGGTGTGGGGCACCTGATGCCTCTCATGTTTCCTGATTCATCATTAGTGATCCATTAGGCACCTTGAAGTGACACCAATTTTTATGCCTGTATGTTTCTATAGCAAATTTTTAGCACATCCTTTGTCTTATCTGGGAAAGCCTCTGATTTTCAGTATTTCCAAGTTTCATGTGTTCCTCATTTTCATTCTCTTTTCTTAGTCATCATCTAGCCCCACTGCCACCTACTACTTTAAGTGAAATTGCAGTTTTCCACAGATCTTCAAGTTGGCGTGCCTTCTTAATCTGCTTTCCATTTTCTTCAGAAAATCTGGCAGGAGGACAGGACACACACACACTCTTCCATCCTTTTAGGGCTCTTTCCCCTGGAGGTGGTTCCTTACCCACATTGGAGACCTGCATGTGAAAAACAGAATCCCTAGCAACACCCTGAGTTGTTCTTCCTTTAAAGAATTTCTGCCCTGGGAAATTGATAGGGTTTTAATTAGTTCAACAGAATCAGAACTAAAACAGATGAATGGATTTTACTATAGATCCAACTGAGACGTATTGGCTGTTTTTGTGAGATGCTCTCTGGAAAGTTTTACAGATTTCCATCAAACAGACTTACCTGTGCAGGAGAAGCTAGTCTTCCCATTAGCCAGAAATTGGGTTCTCGGAGCTGAGAGTTTGGTCATGAAACTGAAACAGAGGAGAAATTTGTGTGTGGATAGGTGGGTAAGTGCTTATTTTAAGATAAAGTCGGTCATCTGCTTCAAGTTCTCTCAATTTCCAACAAATATGACATGCCTATTGCAAAACCAGGTTAAATTAACTAAGGTATCCCATACTTGGACTTTTCATGGCATTATAACTCTTTAATATGCATAGAAAAATATATTTGTCATGGGGCTGTGAGCCCCTGTATGAGGCTGGCTTATTTATTCTGTGTCCTTAATGTCAAAAGGAGTGATTAAATTAATGACTCTCTGGGAATGATTTTTATATGCAAACACTTCACAACGAAGGTTAATACAAACTAAATTCTCCTTTGGAATTCCACTGTCTAGCACAGTGCTTAATAATAATATATTTTTTATTTAAAAATTATGAAATCATTGAAGAAATAAGGTTCACCCCTCCTCCTGATGAACCTATATGGAATACCTTTGTTCTATGTGAAAGATCCAGGCAATCCCCAATTTACAAACAGCTCCCTTCCAAAAGACCTATCCATGCAAATGGCAGCTTCTTCTCCCACTTCATAGCTGGAAGAACATTTATGGGGACAAACTCCCCACATTTGATCTAATCTTAAATGTTAGATCTATGAGTGCAGAAGTGGAAAGAAAGCCTTTTTTTCCCTTTTATTAGGAAGGAGCAATTTCTTAATAACTTATTTTCTCTGAAATACCATTCTTTCTACAACTATATTGATGCCCTTTGTTTCCACTCTGATAATTCTTCTGATTAGAGACTCCTTTGGATTATCAAAGTAGCCTCTGTCTAAAGTACAAAAGCCTTTGGAAAATTTCAGGAGCCATTGGGCATTCACATTTTTATGTTAATTTTCCCAAACTAAGTGGATTCCTTCTAGCTGAAGAGAGGGAGGGGAGAGGTTGGTTTTGGAGAAAGGAATAGGTCTTAGGTCAGATACTTTTGTGGAGGCCAGTAGTTAGTCTGAAGGCACAAGCATTTTGAGAAGAGAGCTTGAAAACATGGGATTTGGACCTAGGAGATATTTGTTTTAGGTGAGCAACTTAAAATATTAGCTTACTTTTGAAAGCATTACTGTTTCTCACTTTAATTATTCATATTTGCACACTTGCAAGGCCATGTGCAGGGATGTTTTAACTTAGTCCATGATGTTTCCATTGCTGTCAGCAACTCAGAAATCCTGTGGCACAAAATCAATTCATCATAAGTAAGAATTGCTTTTCAGCTGAATACTTATTTTTTTAAATTGCAAATGTTTCAACTAAATTAGAAGAAAGCAGATTGAGAATTTAGTCACAGTTATATAATTATAGGTCATATGTCTAATTTGATGTATTTGGAAAATGTTTTCCATGTTAAATTTGCTAGCTCTCCCTGGGTTGGGTTCTGATCAGTGTATGCATTTTGATGTGGGCAGAGGGAGCAGTGTTTAGGAGCATGGAGTCTGGAGCTGAATTGACTGAGTTCCCATCTCTACTGCTGCTTTGTGACCATGGGCAAGTTACCTAACCTTCCTGGGTCTCAGTTTTCTTATATGTAAAATGGGAGCAGTAAAATTACCTGCTTCGTGGGGTTATTGTGAGGATTAAGTAATTTAATACATGTAAATCTCTTAGAGCAGTGCTTAGCATATAATAAATAGTCAATAAAAGTTGGTTTTATTACAGTAATAAAATTGAATTTTTATTCTAATTGGGCTTCTCTTCGAAAATCAGTTAGGGTTTTACTTTATTCTTCCAACAACAGCAAACCTACCCGAGTTTTTGCAAATAAACCAGTAGGACAATAGTCAAAATAACCAGTAAAACCTACTAGAAATAATAGAACCTGCAAAAGAGATTATTTTCCATCTTGGGGCTGTTGACCTGTGCCTTAAGAAGTCACACTGGATTTATCTTGTGGGTGATTTTTTTCCCTTGGAAACTTAGTTTTGATTCATTTAAAATATTATTGTTAAGTATATTTTGTACTTTTATGCAGCATAAAAACACAAATCCCGTTTCTTCTCATGCCAAAGTTTTATTTCAGCCTCATCATTGTAGAAGTTAAAGCCTCTCAGATCCTTTTGATGTCCTAGATTTTGCTGATAATTAATATTCTGCAAGTAAAGAGGTCGTTAACAGGAGATTGGATCTGATTGGAAATAGTCAGCAAATAGTTATTGAACTTCTACTTGGTACCCAGCATTGTCCAAAAAAGGAGAAAATATTGACCATGTTTTCAAGGAGTCTCAATCCAAATGATAAATGAAGACCCATCGAGGGAAAATTTTGAGAAAACTCTTGTTATGAATAAATGATCAGTGATATGGGAGCAGCTGTAGCATTTCAGTAGAAAAAGACATCAGGAGAAAATGCAGTAACAAGGAAGGTGCAGTGATTGGAAATTTTGTTATATTAACTCAAATGGAAAAGGAAGAGTCTTCCCAGAAGTTAAAAAAAAGATCGAATCTGTTAAAAGGCAGTGAGGCCAATCTGAACATGGTTAAATAAAAATGGCAGGGAGGCCAGAGATTAGTGTGGAACCTCTCAAAATAAGAAGAAAAAAATCTAACACCCTAGGGGCTTCCCTGGTGGCGCAGTGGTTGAGAGTCCGCCTGCCGATGCAGGGGACACGGGTTTGTGCCCTTGTCTGGGAAGATCCCACATGCCCTGGAGCGGCTGGGCCCGTGAGCCATGGCCGCTGAGCCTGCGCGTCCGGAGCCTGCACGTCCGGAGCCTGTGCACCGCAACGGGAGAGGCCACAACAGTGAGAGGCCCGCGTACCGCAAAAAAAAAAAAAAAAAAAAAAAATTGTAATACCCTAGAGCACAGGAATGCTGCTCCCTTAATGTCCAGCTGACACTGGGTGTCTTTGGATTAGAATTACAAATTGTACCTCTTCAGCAAGAAATTACATGTTCCTGTGTTATTTTTCTCCCTGGATTTACAGCTATTCTTTTTCGATCTCTTTTAAAAGTGGCATTTCCCTTCTTCTCAACCTTTCCACAAGCTAAACCTCTTGGGCAATCGTAGGTGAAAAACCCATCCTTTCTTCATTGGTTCCTTGATAGAGTTCACACAGTTCTTTCCATTTTTCCTGTTATGTTTCAGGAACAAACCTCCCTCGCCAGTAGCCTGAAGTAGAATTTCAGATCAGCATATTTGGCTCTGTGCAAGTACCCTTAGCACTGGTGTTTAGTTAACGTATAATCACTGTGGTATGTGTGAATGATTTCTTGAAGTAGATATGAAGCACTGAATTGAAATCAGTTGTCTGTCTGTAGTAGTTTACCAATACTGATGGCCGAGACGTGATGTTTTTAGGGGAGATACCGCATGTGGACCTCATGGACTCCATAATACATGGATATGATATTATTATTATTACTACAACTATTATTATTATGGCTACACCCCTCAGCTAGTGGGATCTTAGTTCCCCGACCAGGGATCGAACCTGCACCCTCGGCAGTGAAAGCACAGAATCCTAACCACTGGACCACCAGGGAATTCCCTCATATTATTTTTTGAAGTATTTCTTAGAATTAAATTATAAAACACCCTCACTTCACAAAAAATGTTGCTTTCATTGCCTTTTTTCATGGGTGGTGACCATCTGATTGGTCAGTACTGACCGTTGGGCCTGGGCTCGTTGCCAGGCTGTATGGAATAATGTTCCTTGAAGGTCTCTGGTTTGTGAGGACAAAGGTCCGTTTTTAGGTGTGAAATGTACTCAGGGAATCTGGGGGTTGGGCAGAGTTCTTTGGCTTGGGCCTCACTTTCATGAAAATATTCAAATCTAGAAGTTTATCATTATGTTAAAATGAGATTATAAATATAGGCAGAGACACACTGACTGGACTGAAAGAAATAACTGTTGTGCAGCTGTAAACTTGAGTCCCACATGGAAGATCATATAGCCTATGGGCTGTTTTTTAAAAAAATACTTTTTTTAAGGTAGAAATTATTCTTGTTTTTTATTGAAGTATAGCTGATTTATAATTTTGTGTTAATTACTGCTATACAGCAAACTTATTCAATGAAACATATATATATATATATATACACACACACACACACACACATATATACACATTCTTATTCATAGTCTTTTCCATTGTGGTTTATCACAGGATATTGAATACAGTTCCCTGTGCTCTACAGTAGGACCTCGTCGTTTATCCATTCTATATCTAATAGTTTGCTTCTGCTAATTCCAAACTCCCAATCCATCCCTCCCCCACCCCCGTTCCCCTTGGCAACCACAAGTCTGTCCTCTATCTATATCTGTGAGTCTGTTCCTGTTTCATAGATAAGTTCATTGGTGTCATATTTTAGATTCCACCTGTAAGTGATATCATATTAAAAAATAATTATCAATTGAATTATTATATCATAGGTCATGGATATCTGTAGTGTAACATCTAGAATAGAATTAAATCTATAGATTTCTGAGTGAAATACTACTGTCGTTGAAACCATAGTTGTTCTGATATTGCACAGTTTGTTCAGAATTCTAAAAATGTCTCTTGCTATAAATACTGATGTTTTACATCAGTGAAAAGTACTTTCCTTGTTATACCTGTTGTGCTCACAGAATTAAATCCTTGAAAGTTTTACATAATAAAAAGCCTTTAATTTTTAAGGTAGATATGATAGCATTTTTCTAACCCTATTTTGGGATTTCCATCTTTGTTTGTTTATTTTTTGTTTGTTTGTTTTTCAATATACAAAAAGCTGCAAATAATGGAATTGGCTTTGAACCTTGATGGACTCTGGCTGAATCAGTGTGGTTGGTTGTTTTGGACTGAGAACTTTTTTTCCTCTCTAGGGTGACCCTGGACAGCCTGGGAACCCTGGATACCCTGGACAACCTGGTCAAGATGGTAAGCCTGTGAGTACTGAAAGCTTAGTCATCTCCAGTACTGGGATTATAGGGTCAATGTAACCTTGCACTGGGCGAAATTCAACAGGCAGGGAAGACTTTACTCAAGACTATTGTAATAGGGGAGAGAGGCTCAACTCTACACAGCTGAAACAGGGGGAGGGAGGCCTCCTGAGGGCTGGGTGAGCTGGGAGAAAAGTACTGGAGGACTTTAAGGGGAGATTGATCAATGGGAGGAGCAAATGGAGTTATTCCTGAGCATGGCAAACGTCTTCCTCAAGGTTAGACCATCTGTGTTTGCTACTTGGCACCTGTCCAAGTTAGGGTCATCTCCTCTGTTTCCTTAATGGATTTTGGGGTGCTGTTTCCTTAATGGTTCCATTTCAACGGGATGGCTCTCAGGTCCTGGAGAAAGACCTGGGTTGTAAAACTGGCAAGAAGCTTTTAAAAAGATTTACATCTCAAAGGGGCAGATAAAGAATTTACGGTTGATTTTCAGTTTTCTAAAGTAAATGCTGTAGGAAAAGGGAAATCAGGGGTGTAGACTTGGGAGGAAGGCCGCTAAAGTTTAGTCAAGCTGAGGGCCACATTAAGGCTAGCTTGGTCGATAGAAGTAGTGTTCTAGTCTCCTTTTAGGTATCTTCACAACTGCATACATCTTTGCTACATTAAAAAATTGCCCAGTGAGTTCTCAATATCAATGAATATATGGGCTCAGAAATCCTTTTATTTTTTCCCCTTCGTGCCTTAAAGTTTTCAAGTTAAAGATCTTTCTAAAGGTGATGTTATTTTCCTCAGAATATATGCACTGGAGTATACTTATAATCTGACTTAAACAAATATCCTCTAAGGTTCAAGAGAATTTTAGGGATATTTATGAATTAAGGAAACATAAAGCAAAACCACTTTAAAGCAACTTAGGCAAATTTTTACAGGTAAGTCAGCATATTTATCACAGTAAATAAACATGCGGTAATAACTTTTGAATGTTAAATAATTGTCGCCCAAAAAAAGTATCTCCTGAGAGACTTTATCACAAGATGTTAACTCTTTCCATGAAGCATGGGAAGGTTTATACTGTGCGTCAATAATTTTCAAGGCAAGAAAGAACCACAGGCCTCATGTTAAACCACCAACACCCCAACCATCAGGATAGAAGGGAGCTTGTTCAGTCCCTGAGTGAGGTTTGCTGACAAATTTAATACAAAAAAATGCAGCCAACTTTCAAAGTGGCAGTGTGCTGGCACCTTTCACACCCGTGTTGCATGGAAAAGGGGTTAAATATACAGGTGAGCCTCTCTGAGAGAGATGTCAAAGAAAGGAGTCTGAAGAGGTGACAAAGTGGTGGCCAGCTTGGAGCTGAAGCACTGCCAGGAGATGGGGGTGGTGCTGTTGAGCCGACTCAGTGGGATCCACTCCAAGTGTGATGGATCCATGAGGGGGCCTGCAGAAAGGAAGTGACGTGGTCTGACTTACTATTTAGAAAGATAAATATGAATATTCTGTGGACAGCAGATTATATGTGTCAACTGAAAAAATGCACAGCCTAAAAGTTGAGAATTATGTTGTATTCGGCGGACTTTCTGAGGACTTCAAGCCTGGAAGGCAGTGTCTCAGAGAGCTCTAAGGGACTGCTCGGAAGAGGTGAGGGAGGGGCCAGGATATAGAGGGATTTTTGCAACAAAGGTCAGGGAGTCCAAACATCAAAAGATTACCGTTCATTAAAGAAAACCAGACATCTCAAGTTAAGGGATTTAGTGCTTTTCTATGTATGGGAAGATGCAAGAGTCCAGGCTCATTGAAGTCATTCCTTTGATATGCACCTCAGCTATCTGGGGCCAGTGTCCTGTGTTTTCTCATCCTGAGTCCCCTCAGGGTACATCACTGGGGGCGGCTGCAGTGGCTGAGGGCTTGATGGTGGGCATCCTGTTTCCATCCTGAGTTGCTTCAGGGATTACAGTCTGGGTGGTTGTAATGTGACGGCTTGATGGCTGCAATATCCTTTGTTTACTGACATGGCAGGTGGCATTTTTCATTCACATGGGGCAAGAGTGGGGGCAGGAGGCCATGGAGGAGGTTATTTCAACATTCTGAGTGAGAAGTAAGGGTGGCCTGGATTAGGGCGATGTGCTGGAAGAGAGAAGAAGTGGTCAGAGTCTGGAGTATTTTTTAATGTGAAGCTGAGAAGAATCCCTGTCAAGTTAGATGTGAGAGCATGAGAGAAAGTGCCAAGGAAGCCTCAGAGGATCTTAGCTTGGGCAGCCGGGTGAATTGTGGTGCCATTTCCTGAGCTGGGCGACACTGGCAGAGATGTAAGTTTTGGGGGGAGACATCGAGAATGCATTTGTGGACCTGCTGAAGGTGTCTCCTAGGATATTAGAAACAGGAACCTTGAGTCAGGAATGTGTTGGAGAATGAAAACACACAGTTAGGACTCTGTAGCATGTGGATGTATCTAAGCCTGCCAGAGCCGATGAGATCATTCAGGGAGTAAGTACAGATAATGGGAGAAGAGAAGGGGGCAGGGAGTTGAGCTTAGGGCTCTGTTACAGAGAAAAATAGGAGGAGGATCCAGTTGAGGAAATTGGGAAAGAATAGTCAGTGAAGTAGGAGGACCACAGGGAGGGTGTGGAATCCCAGAAGCCAAGTGCAGAACGTATTTGAAGAAGGGAGCCATTCATTGTGTCACTGCTGCCATGAGGTTGATAAAAATGAGCTCTGTGCCTAGACCATTGGATTTGCTTGATAGAAGTCATTAGGGACCTTGATAAATGGGGTTTCAGGGAAAAGCAGGATTAAACAATGGGTTCAAGAGAGACAGCTGGAGATAAAATGGTAACAGTGAACATAGATACTTCTGAGGGGTGTAATGGGGAACAGAGAACTGGAGCAGTAGCATGGGGAGGACGTGGGATAAAGGGGTTTTTGAAACAATAGGAGATGTTAGAACATGTTTATATGATGATGAAAATGAGGCAGAAGGGGAAAATTCGGTGATTTGGGAGATAAGGGATATTTACAGGAAGAAAATCCTTGGGTAGGTAAGAGGGCATTGGTTCCAGTCACAAGAGGAAAAGTGTGGCCTGGATAAGAGTCTAGGCAGTTAAAGCTTCAAATGGGGGTTAGAGGGCCAAGCCAAAAAGTACAGAAATTGCTAGGTGCAAGGATAAGAAGTTTATCATCAGACTGATTCTATTTGAGTTGAATGAAATGAATGGATTCCAAACCTAGCATCTCCCCCTTTTGCCTTTATCTTCAACTCCCATTATGTGCCAACACTTGCCTTGTCGTTTCTCTTATAACCCATCCCTTTCTTGCGATAACTGCAGGTGTCATGTGACCTTGGTGAATTCCCTCACTGCAACCCCTTCATCCCGCTGAAGATACTGCCCAAGGGCCTGGGGGAGTTCTGCCCTGATCATACTGAGGGGGATGGGTTTTATGAAGATGAGCCCTCTGCCCTGGAGACCCCTTCCATGGGACATGCTCTCTCTGTTGCTGGCAGCTGCAGTGCTGTCTCAACTCCAAAGCAGAGACACCTCACATGTCGACTTGTCACCTGCTGGCCTCTTGTGATGACACGGAGCTCCCCTGACAGCACTGCCAAATTATTTAGGCTTTTGTCTTTCTAGTGGTGCAAAGTCCTAGGCAATATTGAGAGGTGAGTGCCTTCCACAGGCTATCAGCTCTAGTTTGCCCTTTTTGCCATGAATGAAGTACTGGAAATTAGTTATAATTAGCTTGATACAATAATCATGGATATGATACTCTGTGACTCTCATTTAAGCTATAGTAGGCTTATTGTCTCATCTCATTCAGTACATGTATATTTGTGTTTGTGTGTATGTATAGATATAGCTCTGTAGTATCTGACATTAGATGTTAGATGCTATTAGGTAATATCTGATGTTAGAGAAAGAAGAAACCTACTGTAGTAGACAGAATAATGTCCACATCCTAACTCCAAACCCTGTGAATATGTATGGTACCTTACATGGCAAAAGGGACTTTGAGATGAAGACATTTTCTTGGTTAATCTGAGTGGCCCAGTGTCATCACAAGGGTTCTTATAAGAGGGAGGCAGGAGTATCAGTCAGAGAAGATGTGGTGGGTGATGGAAGCAGAGATCAGAGGGAAGCAGCTGTGAGCCAAGGAATGCAGGCAGCATCTAGAAGCTGGGAAAGGGAAGGGACAGATTCTCCCCTGGAGCCTCTGGATGGAATTCAACCTCCCAGTGACACCAAGAATTTAGCTCCCTAAGACCCATTATGAACTTCTGACCTCCGGAAACATAAGTATGTGCTGTGTTAAGCCACTCTGTTTGGGGTAATTTGTTACATCAGCAGTGGGAAACTGATGCACTACCCCAATACTGTTTACCTAAAGGGATGACTTTTTTCTTAAATATCTCCCTTTTCCCTTGTCTTTTTCCCTCTGCAGGAGATAAGAGGTTAGGTGACCAGGCAGGAAGAGAAAGTGAGCCTGGGAGCCAGAACAGCTGAGGGTCATTAGTGTGTGTCCAGGGCCAGCGCAGCGGGAGTGGGGCAGTGTGGGTGGGGCCTCTGGCTGGTGATTGAAGCCATCTGGCCAAGGAAACTTGGATGGAACAATTCTAAGGGAATTCTGCTTTGTTTGGATTTGGCTCTGTGCAACCCCCCTCAATCAGTAATTTGAATCTTTTTCACATAACCGGGCCAAGTCAACTGAAGCTTTAAATAGGAAATTATTCCACTCTGGAGAAATACTAATTTTCATAAGGAATATGCCTTCAACCAAAATTAAAGAACTATTTTCAAATCCTTCCACTGCTTTCTAACTTCTCTATCAGTTAAATAGCTTCTCTCAGCACAGTATCTGAGCATATTACTATTTTACTATTTTATCATTATCAAAAAAGAGGCAGAGGAAATATTTATACATCCTGTTAGGTACTTCAGAGTAGGACAGCTGTGAAAAGCACTGCACTGCTATGACACTGATTTTTTTTTTAAAGAAGGCCATTTTTGGAA